TAGCAACAATAATAATAATAATAATAATAACAGCAATAATAATTGGGAGGGGGGGCCCGGCTGTTCTTATGTTCTCTGAGTGGAGGCTCACTTTCCCACACATTGAAAACCCCTGGATTAGGAGATACACGGGGCCAGTGATAATTGCGAGAAGACACATAAAGGGATTACCACTTGTTGTGCAAACCTGTGTTCTGGAAAGACAATTAATGAATCTTAATATGCCATGATGTGCTTCATATAAAGACACTTAAGTATTTGTTTTGTATGTTGAATTATGTACACTCAGAAACCATTGTTGGCATAAAAACTGTAGTGTCCTTAAACATAGACGCATTTTATAATATGATTTTACATTCTTAGTATAGCTCTCTGAAAGGAGATGTCAGCGTTTGAAAAGCTATGTTTGCATAATGTACATGTCAATGTTCAAGTGTATCCAACTCTTAAAAAAAAAGAAAACGTAACACTTCCTGGTTTTGTCAAAATGATACACTTAAACAACCTTCCACATTATTTTCATGCACCTCTGTGCATGCCGTCCCCTGCTAGAGTGTTGCTGTATTTTAATGTGCTGGCTGGAAGCTGTGGAAGTTTTTTGATGTGTCACAACTAATAATGTGGTTCATTACAGTGAGGATAACCTTATGGTTATTATCTAGCCTTTCTCCTTTAATTGATGCTTTGAAGTAGCACATGAAAGTCGTTTTGTGTGTGTGTGTGTGTGTGTGTGTGTGTGTGTGTGTGTGTGTGTGTCTCACAAGCTGCATTTCGTGTGTGTGTGTGCAAAATATTGCCTGTGTGTTCCATAGTGCCTGAATGTTTTCTCCGATCAGCTCCACTTTCAGAAGTCCTCAATCTTCCCTGCAGACAAAACACAGTGATTACAGCTGTGGGTCTGCAGCCCCGAGGCTTCTCTACAACAGGCCATAGCTGATCTACTGCCAAGTCAGAAAACAGTGTGTGACAATATTTTTGAATGCTGGGTGAAAGATTTACAGACAAAAACAAAATACAACAATGTCACACATATGTCTATTGATCCATCAAACTAAACATATGTTATCTAATTAATCCTCTTTGTCAATAATAGTAATAATAATAATAATTGTTCATTATTATCAATTGCGAAACATTTAATAAAAAAATATTGCATTACACAAAACCATAATTACATTTATCCTAACATAATTTGTACCTCCCGTGCTTCCATAACTTTAATTTAAAAACAAATTATCCTCACCTGTTTTTTAAACCAAATAGGTGAAGAGCTACTTTAAAACACAAAACAGTTGAAAAATAAAGTTACAATATCGACCTAGTCATACATTAGCTCTGAGGCTAGCTATGGGGCTCTCAATAATGTGTCACAAGCTGCATTTCGTTCATTACAAATCAATATCCCCGGGTTATAATTTCATTTCTAATCCCACACATTGTCCCTGCTCTGTAAACCGTCTCTCCTCTTAAAAAAATGTATGATGCTTGCCTGAGTTTTCTCATTACAGAAGACAGTGAATCCTTTGTACAAAACTTTGCCATGAATTTTTCACAAGATTTTTTTAACCATGGGCACTGAGGAAGATGAGTAGCTGCTTAGTGGGGTGTACACACTCAATTTGGACTAAGCCAAGCACTTGTGTGTGAGCATGCCCCCGTTTCAGAAGAAGAGGGGCTTGATGCCTGCTTGAAGAGGCTGTTTTTTTTACTCAAGCAGTCTTCTTAGTGAACACGGTCAAAGTTCAGTGGAGAGTGCAGTCATTCTCCTCAGTTAATGATGAGGAACAATATTTATTAGTTTGTTCAGAGAAGTATGGCAGAGGTTGAGAATGCTGCCAGTGTTGACACATTGAGGCAAAGCCGAGCAAACATCAATGCGATGAGGGGGGGGGGGTTATCCCAGCCACATCCAGTCACATCCAGCCATGCCTCTCTTGTCTGACTGAGAGCTCCAGCAGCAGCTGGTGCTCTGCTTCTCATTGCTCAGAGCCCATGTGTGGGCCCGCCGAGCTGGAGCTGAAGCAGGTTATATGTCTTAATTGATGTTC